ACAATGAGAAACTAAATGATTACTTTTTAAAACGAATAAGACTAACTTATTCATTTCTCACAACGAGAGGGACTAATTTATAATTTACTCTATATTTCTACGAGTATGAATTTTTTTTGAAGTACATTCCTTTTTTTAAAAAAAATATTTTGCTTCCTATATTTTATTGTCCTTACAAATAAATCCTTAATTTAATTTTTTTTCATCATCTTTTATAGTAAATATATTTTAGTCTCTCGAATAGTTTTTTCTATTAAATCTTTACATGTCAAATTGTAAATTTAGTCAAAATTATATATATATATATATATATATATATATATATATATATATATATGTATATATATATATATATATATATATATATATGGAGAAGGGTTCGAAAGACTAGACTAACCTCCGCCAATCGAAAAACAATATATAATACATCTAATAAATGAAGACATTCTTAAAACTACTTTTGTCTAACTTGCACCAACAATAACTTCATCATACTTGTTCAACAATAATCTATCAACATAAAAAGATATTTATCCTCCCAACTGGTGTTAGAGGTTATTGGCAACAAAGATACGAATAATTCTATCTCTCTTTCCATGCAACTTGAGAAATTTCTTGACTAGATAAACAACAAAAAGATTCAAGATTTTGAATCCTTTCACCACATTACTCGTTCTCTTTTGCTTATATCTACATCATAGCCTTTTAAGGCTAATACTCCTCTTCCTCACACTAATTAAATCATCGAAGGGTCTTTTACCTAACTAGAAAAGCTTGTTTTTATAGATATTTGGTCCATCACGACCTCTACTAGTCAATAAGCAACACCATCCTAACAACAATCGTGAAAGAGCCACATCACTTTTAGAGGTTAAGCAACCTCATTCCATATCACCGGAGATTATTTTCTTACAATTTAGTGAATAGAAGTTCATATTAGAATACCTATTATTTAGTAAAAAAACACATGTACCTAAATACTTTCAAGATTAAGAGAGATTCATTGAAGAGGAGTTGGACATGCTTTTACCACTCGGGTTTTTTAGCTAACTTTGACATGTTATTCATAAAAAAATGACACTCATAAAAAAATGATATTTTATTAATAGCATCTTATGAGTTGTGATAAGTGATAAAAGATTTGAGGATTGGACCTCGAATTTTAATGGGCATTACTCTCACCAATTACCAACTAGCCAGTAAGCCTTTTGCGTACCGATAGTAGTTAGTCATTTATCGATCAAACTAGTAAACTAGCAATCCACCATCTCTTTCTTTGGTCAAAATATGGTTCGATTCGATAGCATTAGTTAAAAATGGTTTTAAATCGTTATAGACTTCCCTATGGACTTGAGTTGAATAAATGCACCGATAAAAGGTGATTGGTAGTGCCATATGTTACGAATAAAATTTAAAAAATATTTAATAAATGTAAAATAGGAAAACTATCAACTTCGTTGTTATAAATTATATGAAATTGCATAAAAGTAGATGTAGTTTATCATGTTGAAACGATTATTTAATGCATATGAGAGATTCAATTTAGTATATTTTTCTTGTATACATACCATTTTCCTTGAAATATTACATGGATCAAACGAAAATTCCACCATATAGTATTAGACTAGTTTGGCCCCGTGCTATGCTTTGCGGGAGGAGCATTGTTATGTGTGCAAAAAGATGGGTAATTTGTGTATATATGATTGATAATTTCATTTTAATTTTTTTTATAGTGTATCAAAAGCAATACAAATTATTGTAATAAGTGAAGAAAGACAATATTTTTTTACAATAGCAACATGATTTTCTTTTTCTTTTTAAAAAAAATTATATATGTAGCTTGTTTATGAAAATATCAAAGGTTGATTATTTGTGTACATGGTTTTGATGATAAAAAAGGCTAAAGTTATATTCAATTGTTTGCTAGTCTTTTGCGGAAGACAAAATATTCATTTAGATTCAGCATTAAAAGTTAGTGGAACCTTTGCAATTTACTTTGATGAATGAAGTATAAGTCTTTTAAAGCACCATAGTGGGAAGCAATATAATGGGAAATGCTTCAAATAACCACCTAAAAGATTCATGAGTTTCATTATAAAGCAATATTGCACAAAATGTAATTGTTTATTTATGGTGATTAACCTCAATTTATGGAGCAAAAGGTCGGACATTGACATTTTTTTTATAAATCATATCAAAGCAAACATCTTTTAAATATTATAATTAATCATTGATCAAGAATATGTCTAAAACATATTGTTGATGAGATCATCATTATCATGGTTTACAAAATAAGAGCATTTGGATTCTAGAAAAATATTAATGCATGTCGAGTGGTGGATGGAAAAATATGGATACAAAAAATTGAATAAGGATTGCTATAGTTGAAGCTAATTTGTAAATATTAACAATTTAACATATACATCGGTGATGGTGGTCGAGTGCGATTGTCTATAAAAGCATCTATAGCCACATGGTTTTCTAAAACAACAAATGACTAAATTATTTTTCCTAGTGTTATGAACAAACCGAAATAATAGCTCAAAACAACGCGAGGCAAGCAACGAAGCTTAACAAAAAAGCGCCAAATTAGGCAAAAAAGTGGTACCGATGTGATCGGTGTATCCCTTAAAAGGTGGATGTTGATGTAATTTACTAGATAGATTGTAATACATATAGTTTCTATCGGTAATGTCGTTGCATCTTTTTATCGATAATGAGGCTACTATAAAAAGCCAAGTAGTTTCAACAAGTTGTTGTCATAGATGAATTATGGTGTTACCGACCTTTTTAGGAGGAGTAGCAGTAACTTGCTATTTGTTTTAAAGAGACGAGAGAAATGCTCGAGATTCGTTATATCTATAAATTATTTAGCTATCCGTAATGACTTAGAACCTCTAATTTGGTTCAACCAAAAAAGTTACAATGTGTGAAAAGGTTAAGAAATATAGGACACACAACAATGCTATTTATGAGTAGGATGAAAACGTTAGTATTAGTAAACCAGGTATGAAGAGTATGGTTTAAAAATTTTCTTCGAGTGATGTAAATACAATGCTTGATATACTACTCATGAAAATGATAAATTTGAAAAGAGAGAAAAAACTATATAAATAAGTTCTATTTGTATCAAAAAGTCATTCATTTAAAGAAAAATTTTCAAAAGCACAAAAATCCAATGGTTAGTAGTTATATTAAGGTTGATAACATATTAAATTGATTGTGAATCCGCAAAATGAAATATGTATTATAATAAATGAAAAGAGAAGTTCAAAAACAGCAAAGAAAAATATATATTAAATGGTGTGTTAATAGTAGAACCACCTCAAATACCGTTCATGAGCACTAAATTCCAACACAAACCATAGAGATAGCGAGTCACTTAGTTGTTCATCTAGAAAATAACAAAAAGGAATCCAATTCGTAATAATTAATGAAGAAATAAAAACGAAGTATAAAAAACCTAACAATTGATAAAAAGAATACATGGAAGCATTCAAAACAAATAATCCACAAAACAAAAAGGCCAAAAACAAGACTATTTTCAAGAGTTTTAGGAAAATTATAGAAACAAAAGCACATAACTTAACATACAAAACGAAGACAATAAAAAAGGACACTGTTCTAAAAAAGAAAAAAAACAACGGATATAATCCACCAAGATAGAATGTAGCAACAAACAACAAAGAAAGAGTCAGCAACAAAAACTAAGGAAATAAGAAAACAAAAAACAGATAGAAATAGTTGAGCAATAGAAAAAGAAAAAACAAACAAAGAATCTTTGCAAGAAAAAGAGAAATAGGAGACAAATAGTTCAGGACAGAGTCCATGGAACACTTTTTTGAAAAAAAAAAACAATTTTTTATTACATGGTTCATATAATTAACAAATACAAACCTTCGATTTTCACCGGACAATGGTGCCCGATTCATCTAACCGGCTTTAGGTCGTCCACTCACTTTTTTTTTTTTTTGCATTATATGAAAAAAAACAAAAATAATTTTTTTCAAAATGAGCCAAACAACAAAGTGAAAATTAAATCCATACAAATGAAGTCTAATTTCTAGTCACTCGCAATTAGAAATCCAGAGAGCAAAGGAAAAAAAAAACTAATAAAAATAAGACTGAATAGCTTTTTTAAAGATCAATAAAACTTCTTGCCCGAACATTCCTTTAGCATCGATTCAAATACAAACAAACAAAATCACTTGTTGCCATTTCTAATTCTACAAAAGAGAATGAATACTCACTATTATTGAATTTCAATGTTAAAATTAAAAAATTAAAGTAGATGGAATTAGAGTGATGTAGTTGATGTGAAATAGAGAAATTAATTGATTAGAGGGATTTATCACTTGCTTATTTGATTAGAAAAAGAAATCACAAATATTTGAGATCTAGAAATGGTAAAATTGAGAAAATTGACAGAAAAATCACATGCTACCATCTCTAATTTTACAGAACAAAATAAATAGTTAGTCACTAAATTTCAATGTTAAAATAAAAAAATTAAAGCAGATCAAATAAGAGAAGTATATGGTTAAGGTGAAATAAAGAAATAATTTGATTTACGAGATTTTCTTATCTTTTTTATTTGATTGGGGAGAGAGATCATAAATATTTTGAGATCTAGAAATGGAGAAGCTTCAAAAATTGACCCAAATTTGATTCACAGGAAATAGAAAAACACCGTATGTGAGAGAGAAATGCATTATGAGTTTCGATGGATTATAAATTTTTGGAGACAAGGATTGAAGTTGTGGCAATCATTCGTTGGTTAATAGAAATTACATTATCCCCAACTAGCAAATAAAAATCCAGCAATAAGGAGCAAATCCAAAGGCCAAGAAGATTGTGTGCAAGAAAGAGGAAAATAGAGGAAAATAAAAGGAAATGAGGAATGGATTTTTCAAATAGATAGGAAGGAAGAGCTGGAGCATAAACGTGGGCCCCCGACATTGCCAAAGAAGGATCCAGATTAATTGAAAGACAGACAAAAAATGGGGAAACAGTGCAGGTGGGCGATAATCCACAGTTCCTTGAGTCTCTGTGAACAGTATATCAACAGTTTAGTTTCTTTTGATTTATTGGAATCATCATAATGGACATCATCTGTGTAGCCACTAATTTGCTGTAGTGCATGCAACCTTACAGAGAATATGGAAAAAATGCTTTTGATTTAAAGTTGAGTGCATGTTTGATCGAGTTCTGGTGCAATGAACCATTCAAGGTGGGAGGATCATCTGACTCAAAAAGATATGTCAAATCAGCAGTTTTTGACTTTATTAAATGGATGAGTGGAGTAGAGAATAGTGTTATCCCATTTGATGGAAGCGATTCTTGGTACTTGATGAAGGAACATGCTAACTCGTTGCCTGCTCCAAAGAGGTTAAGGCGAATAAGGGCATTTCAAAATGGGGAAAGTAGTACAATAGGAAAAAGGTAGACATAAAACATTGATATCATGGAGTTACAAGCATCTATACAGTAGAACATGGCTGATCTTTATGCCAATTTCTCAATTTAAGAAGCACATGCACGACAATTCCACAGACAAAGCCAAGTGCTGCACTTGAACCCACAAGAGAAACCGCAGTGCACATAAGCATCACAAAGGATTCCTCCTTTGTGTTCATGTCTCTTGAAGCCAAAGCCAACTCAATTCCAGCAAATAATAGTAACACCCCTAAGACCCCAACAGGAAATTGGTTTAAAACTATGACTAAAGAACTACCTAAAACCAAACCCAGTAGCATTTTTGCTGCCCCAAGCAGTGCCACGCACCCTCCACTCCTACCACCAAACTTGTATTGCCCCGCTAGTCCACCTGCACCATGGCAACATGGCATGGCACCGAACCAGCATCCCATTATGTTCATCAGTCCTACAGACACTGAAACCGAGGAGGCCGAAAAATCCTTTCCCGGAAACAGATCAGATGATAACTTGCAGACGGCAATAACAGAATTTAGTACTGATAAAGGGAGCTGAGGAATTGTACCCTTGATAAACCCTTCCTTCCAAGCGTGCTTAGAAATTTTCACAACTTCAATAGAAGATGGCCCAAATTTAAAATCATGCACCACTCCAGGCCGCCTTATAAATGCCAAAATCACACCCAACAAAAAAACCATAAAAGCAGAAGGAAGTGAGGCTATAATCTGCCTTAGTCCCTTCCTCCTAGGCCTTTCGCTACCACTCAAATTAATGTCATCCCCCTCTCTTTCATTACCCTCCTCACCAGCACCATTAACAACGATAATAAAACAAGCACAAGCAATAGCCAAAACCAAACCATCCAAGCCCAACAAATGCCTATTCCCACCAGACTTTGACTTAGCAAAATTTTGCACTTTCTTAATATACTTAACTGCAGTCATGGCAAACGATAACCCTTGTGAAAGCTGAATTCCCCTAACAACAGGTAGTGGAATTAACTTGTAAACAAGCTGCATCAAACCTGTGACTCCTAGAAGTAACAAAATCCCACCAGTACATATTCCTGCTGCCATAATTTCGGGCACACCAAATTCTGCACTATTTGATATAGCCACAGCTGCTATTGATTTCATTGGCTGGACTGGCATTGGCACACCATAGATTGCCCCAGTAACAATATTGTACATGCCAGTGAATATTAATGTTGTCCCTAAATCAAGGTCAACAGATAATGTTAAGGCTAATACTATTGGTACGTACGTACCTAAATCCCCCATGGAACCATTAAGTTCTGCCCATTTGGACCGAAAGACTAGGTTGTCTCTCACTTTGCGGACTACATTTGATGGAAATCTTGATCTGGGTGTTTGAGCTTTTGTGTCTTGAAGAGGTATTTGATTGATCGAGGACTCCATTGTTTGCAATTGGCGTATGTAATTGCAAGGCTACATGTACTGATCATCTGAAATGTGCCTGTTTTATAGGCTATACTGGTAAGCTGAACTTGTCAGGAATGTCAAATGGGAGTACTAGTGACCTTTCGCATCTTGATTGGCCGTTAAAAAGTGAGAGATATCTGCCGCTAGTTGTGACTTAAGGCATCTTCCTTACGTCAAAAATAAAATTATTTTCTTTTTTTATAAAACAAGAATAAACATCCCTTGAATATTATTCTAACGTTAGTTATAAGTCAAAATATATTTTGCATTCCAAGAAATTTATTCATTTGAGGTTAAAGGATACCATTCAAATGCTCTTTTCCATCAAATAAGTTGTAGCTCAGTGGTAATGATCTCTTATAAAAACGATCATAGGTTCCAGCTACCGAAGTAATTCTGCTAGTGTGTGAGTTAAAAAAAGAAAAATGCTCTCTTCCCGCTCTTAAAATTCTCTCTCCACTGGATAGTCTGAAACAACTAATAACTCTGATTCTGATCGTAGTACTAAAAAGTCATATTAATTAAGAGACACGAATCGAATCACTTCATCGCCCACTGATATGTCTTTACCCTATGGTCGTCTGAACTTCAAGAAAGCTATCACTGAAGATAAAGAATCTGACCTGACACAAGCATTTAAATGGCAATCTCTTGAACATCTTGAAGTCGAAGATTATTTAGAATGTTGACATCACAACGTCGTGATGATGAAGGACCAGGGATGAGTTATGGAATTGTCTGATCCCTTTAAAGATCCTCTCAACTCTCTGTTATTGTAAAGGTCTTGGGTATAAAACATTATGTGTTAGATTGAAGGCTATTTGGAAGACTGTTAAACCCTTGAGGGTGATTGATAAGAAAAACGATTATTTTATTGTGCAATTCTCAACCAATACAGATTACCTGCATGCTTTAGCTGAGGGTCTCAACATCATTTTAGGTCACTGCTTGACTATCCAACTATGAGATCATAGTTTTAGAGCTTCTGAAAGTTAAATTAAAACGGCAGTTGTATGGATAAGATTTTCTGATCTCCCTTTTGACCTGTACCTAAAATCCTTCAGGAAACATGATTGGTAACGCAATCAAAATTGATTACAACACACAAACTACTCTGAGAGCTTTACTAGGGTGGCTGTCATCATAGAGGATTGGAAATAGATGCTTCTTTTGTCCATGTCGGAATCTGGCCAACAATTCTAAATAGAGGGAGAATAGTGACGCTGCTGCTTTGAATGCAGCATTAAATTCCAATGATCCTGCTCTACAAAGTTGAATGACGAGGGAGAAAATTTCGGTCCCTGGACCCATGCTCAGACGAAACAGGGGCGAAAATCAAGCAAAGGGGAAATTTCAAATCAAACAGGTAGGAAAACTCGGCTACCAAATCTGTCCCTGCCAGGTCTGTAATGCAAAGTAAAGGGTCCAGATTTGACGTTCTTACTAAGGAAACTGTGGAAGAAGAAATTATTGAAGCTGACCTCACCGGAAACCAGCCTACCCAAGCCAAGCCCAATTCTCCAAGCTTCAATCCAAAACTCAGACCAAGTTGATGTCCAAGGCCACGACTTATCCCAGTTCTTCTATTAAGCAAGCTATTGCTGGCCCATCTCGCGCTGTCGCTTTGTTCAATAGGGCGCCACCAGTGCAGATCAGTCCCGCGTCTCCCATTAAACAAACTATTCGTGGCCCATCTCATGCTGTCACTCATCCTATTATCATGTCATCAATACAGACCAAACCTATGTCTCCTAATAAGCAATCCTTTCCAGGCTCCTCTCGTGTTGTTCTTAGTGAACAGTCGGCGTTGTCAATGAAGCAGCGACATACTACCTCCAAGCACACTTTTGTTAAGCTTGATGATATTAACCAATTGCAGACAGGTAAGGATGATGCAGATAAGATCTTGTTGTCTACTTCGGATGATTAATCCGACGAGGATTATGCTATTATGGAGGAAGGACAATTTAGGTTGGTGATATGAATGGAAAAAAACGAACCACCTGATATTGCAAGTGCAAAATAGGAAGAAGAAGAAGAAGAAAATACCCTGCAAACCCACCATTCCTATACGCGAGTGTTACGAGTCCAATGGTGGGAGTTAACAACTTAGGAGAGGAATAAGGAGAGAAGAGAGAAGGATGAGAATAGAGAAAACAGAAAAAGATTCGAGAGAGAGAGAGAAGAATTTGTTGAAGTCAGTGATGCCTGCTTTCTTTTTTTCCTTTGTTTTTATGCTATAGCTGTAACAGAAACAGTAGGATAATCTGTTATGCCGGTTAATGGCTACATTGTAATTTTATTTTCTCTAACAGGCTTAAGGCCCAACAACAGGATTAAGGCCCACAACATTTAATTAATAGAAAACGGATCCATGTGCTAAGTCCAACCCGTAAGCTTAAGCCCATCACATCGGATCCAAGTCTTCTGCCCATCCTTTCCTTGAGAATCCCTAGTTGAAATCCCCAATTCGATTTTAGGGATTGTGTTGCTCTCGACCCGTCTTCGTCATCTTCCTCTGTATCAGCAAGCCTTCTTGCAAGGTCTTTCATGCAAGTAGGGATAAATCTGCTAAATTGAAGCAGGTTTATTTGCATCTTCAGAAGAGGAAGGAAACCATTATGATTCATTTGTAACCGATATTGAGGAGAGGACCGAGTCCACTTTACCTAGCTCAAAGGTTTAAGCACTTCCTATTTTCAATACTTTTTTTTATGATTCTTATGAATATTATGTTTTGGAATTGTCAAGATGCTAAACATGAGTTATTTAAAGTTGTTTATGGTGATTTGGCTAAAATTCACTTTTTGAGCCAAGGATCAGTGATATTATGATCTCCACCAGCATCCAGTCATAAGGTTTTCCTTGGTCTAACAGAATAGAAGCTAATGGTTTGCTCTCGCATAATAGAAGCTAATGGTTTCCCGAGGAAAGTCCTGGTTAAGCATAGGCAGTTTATGCATACAATACAAGGATGGATTAGGTGGGATGACATGAGTTTCTTGTTTACAACAGTTTATGCTCATCCCCGTGGGTATGCTTTAGAAAGAACTGAGGAAGTTAGCTGAACCTGTTGCTGAACTGTGGCGTATGGGTGGAGATTTTAACGCAATGATGTGCAGACGGGAGAAGAATGGAGGAGAGGGCTTTAATAGTTGTAATTGTAAGGCTTTCTCAACTTGTCCTGATGATTGTGTTTTGCTAGACTTGGATTTCATAGGACCTTTGTTTACTTGGTTGAGAGGTAGTGCTCAAAAGCACATTGATCCGATGGTTTGTGATGCAGTTGGCAGATAGATTTTCCTGAAACCAGAGCTATCCATCTACCTCGTATCAAATCTGATCATAGACCTATCTTTCTTCATCTTAACGACCAATAGCAGTTTATCTCAAGCACTAGTAACTTTTGCTTTCAAGCTGCCTGGCTGATGAGGGCTGATTTTAGTGACTTTGTTAAGCAAGCATGGTGTTCCGATGTCCCTTTCTCCATTGCTAGTACTGAGAATTTGATTGAATCAGTCAAGACTTAGAATAGGGATTGCTATGAGAATATTTTTAAAAGGAAGAGAAGAATTCTTGCTCGACTAGCTGGGGTGGAGAGGGCTTTATCAATCAATCATAATTCATTTCTTACTCATCTTGAAAATCAGCTTCGTAAGGATTATAAAAATATTATGCTGCAAAAAGAGCTCTGTTGGTTTCAAAAGTCTTGGTGTGAGTGGCTGGCTTTGGGTGACAGAAATACCAAGTATTTTCACACTATGACACGCAGTCAAAAGCAAGCGAATAGGGTTGGGAGACTCGAGAGTGATTCTGGTCAATAGTACACTAATGATACCCAGATGCATGACTTGGTGTTTTATTGTTTTAAAGGCCAATTCACGAAGGATTCTATTAGTCTTTTTGGGTCTTTTACTAGAGGAATGTTCTCTATTTTGTTAGAAAGATTGGTACATTCTCTTTGTACTCTTATTACTGATGAAGAAATTGGGGTTGCTTTTAAGGCTCCAGGAGGGGACGCCGTGCATACTGTTTTCTATCAAACTCAATGGCATGCTATTGGTCCATCACTGTGCAAATTCATTCAGCAGGTTTTCAGACATAAAGTTTGGTCTTTTCAGGTTGATTTTAATGGTGGGACTACATATTTTTTCAATCCCTCTAGAGGTATTCAAATAGGCGATTCTTTATCTCCTTATATCTTCGTTTTGTGGACGGAGCGTCTTAGTCATTTAATTCAGAAGAAAGTGGTCTTAGGTAGTTGGAAGCCAATTTGACTTAGCAAAGATGGCCCTCCCATATCTCATTTATTTTTTTCAGATTAATATAATTATGGATGTGCTTACCAGCTTTTGCTCTATAACTGGTCAAAAAGTTAAGATGGCCAAAACAAGAATATTTTGCAGTGCTAATGTTGCTAAATAGAAAGCCAAGATGCTTGCTGCGGTGCTGCATCGAAAATTGACAGGTTTGTGCTTCTCACCCAATGAGGAGGTGTCGGATGAGCAGCATCTCTAATTAATAACAAATTGTTCCAGCAGATTTGTTGTAGGGAAACACAATCATATACGATGTTTCTTTGTATCTTTTACGATTCTTTCATCAATTTAGGAACAGACTTTCTCTGTACATAAATTTCAAGTAATAACCGGTTGTTCCTTGAAATGAACTGATGCTTGGATGATAGATGAGTCTTTTTTGTCTTTCTGGTCCTTCTCTTTAGTATAAAACAGAAGCTCAGTGTTTGATTTATTTTTTTATGGTATTTTTTCCTCTATTTGTATTAGATCTAATTAGGTAGATTACCTTGGTTGATTGTTTCCTTCATATGTGAAGATGATCAAGAAATTATAGGATCCAAAATTATGTGTTGCAAGGGATTAGTAAAAACTTACCAAAAATTATCTTTCCATATAAGTGTCTCCAAAAAAGTTACCTTCGTACTTGTAAAGTAGTTTTTGGTAATTGGATTATAGCGCTTATACCATTTTTTTGTTTTGTGCATATCCAACATAAACACATTTTTCAGTCCTAGAATCTAGTTTAGAATGATACTGACTAAGAATATGAACAAACCTAATGCACTTGAATATCTTGATAGGTAAATCAACGTGCATTCTAGACGTAAGAAACATAGTTTTGAAACATTCTAAAAGGTTCATATATTTCAAAACACGAGTAGGCATCTTATTAATCAAATAAGATGTTGTTAACACTGCATCTCCCCATAAATATTTTGGAACATGCATAAAAAATATTATTGATCATGTTATCTTAAGTAAATTTTTATTTTTTCTTTCAACAATTCCATTTTGTTGATGAGTATCACGCTGTATAGACTGATTCAAAATACCTTTGTCTTTAAAAAACATCCCTGAGTAGTTATTAAAAAACTAAGTTCTATTATCTGAACGAAAAAAAAATGATATTTGTTTGAAATTGGTTTTTAACCATATGATAAAAATCTTTAAACAACCTTTCCACATTAGATTTTTTATGTATTAGGTACAGCGAACATAAGTGCGTGTGATCATCAATGAAAGTTACAAACCATTTTTTTCTCAAACACAGTGATAATCTTAAAAGGACTCCAAACATCATTATGAATTAGATGAAATGATTTTGATACATGATAAGGTTTAGATGTATAAATAGTTTGATGATTTTTAGCTAACACGCAACTTTCACATTTAAAAAAAGAACAATCTGCATTTTTAAATAAAATTGAAAACAAGTGTTTATGATATTGAAAAATAGGATGATCTAATTGGAGATGTTAAAGTATTATTTCTTCACGAACAGAATTTGAATGGATATCACAAAGTCTTTGAGCCTTTTTATTACTGAAAAGCTTATCATCAAAGTAGTAAAGACCATCTATCATCTTAGCACTACTAATAGTCCTCTCTGTTCTAGTCTTAAAAAACACAATGTGATTGAAAGAAGAAAACATGACAGTTAGATTCTGTAGAAAGTTTACTCACTGATAAAAGATTACACATCAATTTGGGTACATGAAGTAAAAATTTAAGATCTATTTATTCAGAAAATCTTATTTGCCCACATTGGGTGAAAAATTTCCATTGGCAATTCTAATTTTTTTTCATTACCAGAACATGATGTATAGTATTAAAAAGATCATCAAAGCTAGTCATATAGTCTGAAACACCCGAATTTATAATCCTAGCGGATGAATTTAGAGAACAAGAAAAAGCATTAGGATTTCTACATGATTGTGAAATAGATACACTAGGAATACCAAATGATGAATTGGGCTTTAGCAGTTTAAAAAGTTGACCCATATGCTCTTTACTCAAAGGACTAGAAGGAACACTCCGACATCATTTACTGTAGGATTTCTACAGACTGGTTTGTAATGCTGGCTGTTGCTTTTTCAATTGGCTAGTTTGCCATGAATCTGCCAGTAAGTTTCCTTAGTATGGCAAGGTTTATCGTAGTAGTCACACCAAACTCTAGTACAACCACCCTATTTTCATGTAGACATGAATTTTTTTGCCTTGGCCAGTACCACCTTAATCAAAGTAAATCTCATTGACATTCTCCCAAAGTTCTTTGGCTGTCGGATAACATATGTAATTAGAGCTGATCTCTTCCACCATGGAGTTCACAAGCCATGTCATAACTATGAAATTTTCAACATCCTATGTTACATACTGCAAGGTTTGTCGCAGTAGTCACACCAAACTCTATTACGACCATTTTTCTTTCATGTAGAATTGAAATTTGTGCCTTGATTAGTACCTCCTAAATCAGAGTACATCTGATTGATATTTTCCCAAAGTTCTTTGGCTGTTGGATAACATATGTAAATTGGAGCTGGTCTCTTCCTCAATGGAGTTCACGAGACATGTCATAGTTATGGAATTTTCAACATCCTAGGTTACATAAAAGGAATCCCCTTTGGCTAGCTCCTTTGCATCACCTGTTAAATAGCCTATCTTTCCTTTCCCCCGTGTATACATGTGCACGGATTGGAGCTAACGCAATAAATTTTCTTCATTCAGCCTATTTGTGGTAATCTTGACAAGATGGTTTTTGGAATGGAATGTCTCAGGTTCAACAATGGTAAACTAGATGTGAGATCAGAAGTAATTTCATACATGATAAGGATTGGGGTTTGTTTTTAAAAAAGGATGTAGGCAGCAAATAAAGTTTAAAGGTCGGCTAATGGTTTTCTAGAGAATCCATAAAGGCTTTGATGCCATGTAGAATTGATAGAAAAACGTTCTATAATATACAACTATGATATTACAATGCCTTTTACCGGAGGGATTATAAAGAATAGAAAATCAACTAATTATATTCTAACTTTCCTAATTTAGATCATTAACCAAATCTATATTTATAGCTCTTAATTATAGGTAGCAACTACGAAACTAAATTAAATTAAATCAGACTCAATCAATTATTTAATATTCTCAACACTTGCAGAAAAACTACTAACCATATTATTATCGCCCAAGAGGTCAACCATTTTATAAGAAAACAGCAAGGAAAAAAAGGGATGAATGGGCCATCGAGATTGATCTAGAGAAAGCTTATGATCGACTTTGATGAGACTTTGTTTTATATATCTTAATAGATGTTTAAGTTCCATTCTATAAGAAAACAGCAAGGCAAAAGGGGATGAATGGCCATCAAGATTGATTTAGAGAAAACTTATGATCTATTTCGATGCATGGACTTTGTTTTAGATATCTTAATAGATGTTTAAGTTCCTGACTAGATGACTTCTATTGTTATCAAGTGTCTTTTGTCAGCTTCTTTTCAGGTTGATTTTAATGGTGGGACTACATATTTTTTTAATCCCTCTATCTTCGTTTTGTGGACGGAGCGTCTTAAGTCATTTAATTCAGAAGAAAGTGGTCTTAGGTAGTTGGAAGCCAATTTGACTTAGCAAAGATGGCCCTCCTATATCTCATTTATTTTTTCAGATTCATATAATTATGGATGTGCTTACCAACTTTTGCTCTATATCTGGTCAAAAAGTTAATATGGCCAAACCAAGAATATTTTGCAGTGCTAATGTTGCTAAATAGAAAGCCAAGATGCTTGCTCCGGTGCTGCATCGAAAATTGACAGGTTTGTGCTTCTCACCCAATGAGGAGTTGTCGGATGAGCAGCATCTCTAATTAATAACACATTGTTCCAACAGATTTGTTCTAGGGAAACACAATCATATATGATGTTTCTTTGCATCTTTTACGATTCTATCATCAATTTCGGAACAGACTTTCTCTGTACATAAATTTCAAGTAATAACCAGTTGTTCCTTGAAATGAACTTTGTAGTATTATAAAGTAGACTATGAAAATCTCAGAAATGGGATAAGTAGTAAATCACCTTCGTCTCAGGCTCAGGTTGACGGACATACCAAATCCAATCAAGGTTTTTCCGATTAGCTCATAAAGCATGCTGTGAGCTTCAGTGCTTCGATCAAAGCATAAGCATTTCCCAAAATCTGGCGATTTTGGCAGTGGGGGAGTTCCTTCAGGGTCATTGAACATGACTCGAGAAACAACCAGCAGATACTTGCTGCCCAGATCCCCAAGTTCTTCCTTCAAGGGTAGGAAATTCATTTGGACGGATAAAAGTTTGTAATTCAGTTATAGTCTCTCAATTTCTTTTTTGCACAAAAATCTAGCTTCCTTGGAGTTGAAGATCAAATCGGAAAAAAAATAAAAGTTGGAACAAACTGGCTGAAGAGGTCTTGTCTCTTGGATCTCCGACCGAGAGGATCACAAAGGACTATAAAAGAGCATGGAACTGACCATTTTGGACAAAGGTATGTTGTCGTTGTCATGATAATCATCCCTAGTCATTATTATTGATCTATCATCTTTTCTTTTCTGCTCACCTGGTGAATGCTGCCATTTCCCACTGGTTTATCTTATTGTGTATATACCCCACCGGAGCAAGCTAGTTCCACGAAATTAAACGAAGAAAAAACATGAAACTGCTGCAGTTCTGTTTTCTAATTAGAGGATGTTGTGCCAATGATCTATAACGCAAGGAGTTAGACGCCTGTTTCAGCTTTGTACTTGTCGTAAAATCTGGTTGAAGACGAACATGGGGCAGCCATCAATCACATTTTGGCTATGATAGCAAGGATCTAACAATTTGAACAAGAATGTCTCAGCTAATCATTTGGTTGTGTTCTAACAAATATCTGGTAATTCGTTTCTTAATTCACAACTGAAGAAATGACATAGTGATAATGGAAAGGCATAGCCAGAAGATCTAATATTCCAATCAACAACAACAAAGCTTTAATCCGGCACTACTCTAATATACTTCCTACTTATTCACAGAACTCATGGATCTTGAGATTGCCAGGGAATCCATGACACGACAATGTTGAACATAGCTATTCTTTACGCCAGTTTCTCAATTTAAGAAGCAGATGCGCAGCAATCCCACACAAAAAGCCAAGTGCTGCACTTGAACCCATGAGTGAAACCCCAGTGCATATAAGCATCACAAAGGCTTCCTCCTTTGTATTCATGTCTCTTGAGGCCATAGCCAACTCAATTCCAGCAAACAATAGCAACACCCCTAAGACTCCAACAGGAAATTGGTTCAAAACCATCACTAAAGAGCTTCCTAAAACCAAACCCAAAACCAGTTTGGCTGCACCAAGTAGTGCCACACAACCTCCACTCCTACCTCCAAACTTGTACTGCCCAGCCAGTCCACCTGCACCGTGGCAACATGGCATGGCACCAAACCAACACCCCACCAAATTCATCAGCCCTACAGACACTGAAACCGAAGTGGCCGAAAAATCCTTTCCAGGAAACAAATCGGATGACAACTTGCAGACAGCAATGACAGAATTTAGTACTGATAAAGGGAGCTGAGGAATTGTACCCTTGATAAACCCTTCCTTCCAAGCATGCTTAGAAATTTTCACAACTTCAATAGAAGATGGCCCAAATTTAAAATCATGCACCACTCCAGGCCGCCTTATAAATGCCAAAATAACACCCAACAAAAAAACCATAAAAGCAGAAGGAAGTGAGGCTATAATCTGCCTTAGTCCCCTCCTCCTAGGCCTTTCTCTCCCATCCAAATCAATGTCATCACCCTCTCTTTCACTATCCTCCTCACCAGCACCATTAACAACAATAATAAAACAAGCACAAACAATAGCCAAAACCAAACCATCTAACCCTAACCAATGCCTATCACCACCAGACTTCGACTTAGAAAAATCCTGTACTTTCCTAATATACTTAACTGCAGACATAGCAAATGATAACCCTTGTGACAGCTGAATTCCCCTAACTACAGATAATGGAATCAACTTATAAACTAGCTGCATCAAACCTGTGACACCTAAAAGTAACAAAATCCCAGCTGTACATATTCCTGCTGCCATAATTTCAGGCACACCAAACTCTGCACTATTTGATATAGCCACAGCTGCTATTGATTTCATTGGCTGGACTGGCATTGGCACACCATAGATTGCCCCAGTAACCATGTTGTATATGCCAGTGAATATTAACGTTGTCCCTAAATTAAGGTCAACGGATAATGTCAAGGCTAGCACTATTGGTATGTACGTACCTAAATCCCCCATGGCACCATTAAGTTCTGCCCATTTGGACCGAAAGATTAGGTTGTCTCTCACTTTGTGGACTATATTTGATGGGAATCTTGATCTGGGTGTTTGAGCTTGGGTGTCTTGAAGAGGTGTTTGGTTGATCGAGGACTCCATTGTTTGCAATTGGGGTATGTAATTGTAAGGCTACATACACTGATCCCCTGGAATGTGCCTGTTTTATAGGCTATACTGGTAAGCTGAACTTGCAAGGCTACACTGGGAGCAACAGTGACCTTTGGCATCTTGATTGGCCGTTAAAAAGAGAGAGATATCTGCCACTAATTGTGACTTAAGGCATCTTCCTTAAGTGAAAAATGCTTCAATAATAAAACTGGAATAAACATTGCTTGAATACTATTCTAATATTGGTTAAAAGTCAACAAATATTTTGTATTTTTTTAATTTATCCTCATTTTCTCTGTAATAGATTTAATAATCTATACTTAGTTTTGATATTTTTCACTATAATATCCTCGATTTTCAAGAGGTTTTAAATTTGTTTTCTTCACACATTTTTTCACTCTCAACCACTTAAGGAAGACCATGGGTGAAAATAAATGACTCTGTGGAATCTTGTGAATTGATTTTTGTTTTTCAAGATGTCCCATTAGTGAAGAATAAATAATTTTGAAAGAGAAAATACAAGCAAAATTGAGGACAAAGAATGTTACTTAGCTTGAATGCTACGAACTCATTTGTATTTAATATGTTGTCACATCTAATATATTGAAAAAGCCAAAGAGATTATTCAAAATTTAGCTTATTAAATTCAAAAAATGGAAAACAAATGCTTTCAAAGTTTCACAAGAATTTACAAAAATTAATTCAAGTGGAGAATATGGATCAAAAGGCGTGTCGCCAGAGCTTACTTCAAATATATCATACACATAGTCGTGTTGAGCTTGATATTTTATTTTGTCCTGTCTGAAAAACCGAATAATTTTGAAAGTGATCTGCCAGCTACTGAAATCCCGGCTAATAATGTCACTGCATTCCTAGGCCGGCTCGTTTTTCCAATAAGAAGACCCAACTGCACAACAAACAGCCAGCTGCTAAGATGAAAAGCCCACGTAGAACAGGCCTTGCTGCATGGCGCATATCTGTTACCCATCAAGAACCTCAAAAGTTGAGTCACCACTGTTATCAAGTGCAGTCTGTGGAGGAACTCCATTAGAAGGTTGTGCTGGCAAAGAAGTATTTGAAGGGATTGTGAACGCATCAAAAGTATCAACTTGCAGGCAGTTGACATCTACAGGCAGGCTGATCCCAGATGCAGTTGACATTTGCACAACAGGTGCAGCTGTTGAAATGACCGCCCTGAAACTTACCACAAGTGGATGAATCGCTATTTGCAATAAAAGATGAGTCGGATATCGTTCCCACGAGAAGAGAGTTCTAATTACCAATGTATGATTTCCTGTATTATCTAAGCAATCGCAGATATGAATGGCGATTATCTAAACTAACAGAATGCAAAAACAATTACTATTAGATTATGAAACTCTTAAGGGTTCAGATTCAACAATGAATTACCTCTATAATCTGAACCTATTAACTTGAAATCTCTCATGTTTCTTACAATGGTTGAATTCCCTAATGTATGTGATGATATCTTTCAAGACTCAACACTTCGGCCACATTAACACTATGTCTACTTTCGCGATCACAACAATCAATACAACTACGTTAATGTTTTATGAAATTCTGCAATTAACCTCATTGGTATTTTCTACTTTTGTGATAAAGAAAACCAATAGTTAAAGAATCCACAAACTAATATCAAACTTTCATTTTCGCTACTTCATTTGATACTTTAGAAATGCAACTAATGGCCAGTTAGATTGCAAGAAAGACAAACGAATTCACCAAATTGTATTGAAAAATTCATGACTACATCTTAACCCTAGGACTTAAGAGTTTAGCTAATCAACATGATATTTATCACAAAAAGAATAAAACAATAAAGAAAACAAGAAGAACTTATTGAAATTGAAGGTTAACAAGCACTTTGATCCTCCTCTTCTCCTCTTTGTTCACATTATCCTTTCTCGCCCTCCTCTTTCTTCATGTCTCCCCTTCTAATTTTGGCTTCACCTTTTTTTAAAGACCCCAAATATGTTCAAAAAACCTAATTTGTTATCCTCTTTGTCCATATTCACGCCCTTGATTGTTTGCTCTTGATTCGGCTCCTTCATTTTTAGAGTTGGTTTCATTTTCTCGTAAAAGATTTCTACAAGCTTGTTTAAGCTTGATTTTTATCATTAAAACGACCTCATCTTGAGCTGGTGTCTATAAGAATTGTAGGGTTGGATTTTATCTTTCCAACATAACTGATCTTTCATCATTTGGACTCCTATAGCCCAAGATATGAACTCGAAACGAACAGAGCCCTGTGCTGAAAACTTTGCTAGCATGATTTTGACTTATGACCCGTAGCCCCATTTTGACACTCAAATATTCTGAAATGGGCTTTTGACTCTTTCCAATAGTTTTATCTTTGTCTATCAGCTTTCCAAAGAGTCTAAGATCACATAATTTGGATGTTTGTAGCCCAAGTTATAGTCAAAATATGATAGGTGCACAATTCGATAGAAATCAAAGTTTGCACTTCAAGAAAAATACATTTTGCTCAATTGGTGGCCATGTTAAATCTACCAATTCTCCATCCAAATCATCATCTAAAAGCCTATAAGACAATAAAAAGACTAGTAAACTTAAATAAGTCCAAAAGAACACAAACGAGTTAAGTATTCTAGCAAAAAAAAAAAAACCTTAAATCATGCTCTAAAACAAGGCTAATTACGGAGAAACAAATGCAAACAAATCACCACATCATAAAACTCTTCCCACATGTATGGTGCCTCTAGACACAACTAAAGAAACACCAACGCTATCTGGGCGAGTGCTAACATCTTCTCCACATTTACAACATGCAAAACACTTGCAGCGAGCATGTTGCCTCTAGATGTAATTGTAGAAGCACCAATGATGTTGGTTAAAGTAGACATTTGTGCCACGAGTACAGCTGATGAAATACCGTCGGTAGGCATGTTGCCTCCGGATGTAGTTGTAGAAGCAACATCACTACTTGGTAATGCTAACATCTACCCCGAAGGCCTAACTCGTTGAAGCACCACTACTCGTGAGTATATCTTCTCTAAATGCAGTGATGAAGGATGATTAGCATTAGTTTGGTATTTCAAACATATTGTAATCGAGAATAACCGAGGGAATTGACAACTCCTTTGGTAAAAATTCTAAAATATTTGGTTTTGGGGTTGGAGGTATGTTCTTCTTTCCAAAGGCTTCATGACCTCCTTTACTTGGATGGATATATTGACGGCAAGATTAGGTGAACCCTTAAATCCTATTATGTAAAGGACTCATATCCTATAAATAAAAGGAGTTTCTTTTGATAGAAAAATATGTTTGGTAGCAACAAGATGCAAAATAGAGTGAATGTAGAAAAGAAAACAAGACGTACAAAAGAGAATGAACAACTACAAGAAATCGTAATCTTATCAAGATCCTTGGAATTCTTATTGAATTTTCAAGAATCATTATATATATATATTTTTTTTTTTGCAATTTTTTTTTAGTTTTTATTAGATTCCACTATAAGAAAATTGTGAAATAGTGGATATCAACGATGGATTGAAATCGTCACTAAACGGTGATGGATTAGCAAACGAACGAGTAACTTTTATCAAGACATGAATTTCGCTTACGAAACATCGACGGGCTAGTAATGAATTGTCAACAACGTACTTGATTCTACACTAAATATGGTGGCAAAAATATTCATAAGTATATTAGAGATGATTTAGAGAGGGAATTATGAGGGAAATCGACGACGAAATTTGAATTTCGTCGTTGTTTTGGGTTTAGGATTTACGGATGAAATTTTCATTGCTAATTTCATAGTTGTCTCAAACATTAATTACTAAAATTACATCATTAATATTGAAAAAAGAACGGACTCAGCAAATTCGAAAGCGAGTAACAAACACTTAAGTTTATCGCGATTAGCGACGAGACCGTGTCCATCGCTAACCTATGTCCTTAAATCCTAAATCCTTTTTTCTTCTTCTTCTCCCTCTCCTCCTCTCATCGCCACCTAAAATCCCTATTCAAAACCACCACAAAACCTCACAGCTCCACTCCTTAGCAATCTCCACCCGCTCTAAACTCTTTTCTCACCAAAAAGCTCGAATTTCCTCCTCCCTCTTCGCCTCTTCCATCCCCTCTCCTATTTTTGAAGGTAAGTTGTCTCTCTCTCTCTTTTCATTAAAATTTGTTATTTTTTTTTATAATTTTTAGGTTAATTTTGATTAATTACTTGAATTTAATTGTTAATTGGTTGATTAATTTGTTATTTTTGTTAATTGTTAGGTTAATTTATTAATTAATGTTATTTAAAATTTAATTAGGTTTGAATTGTATTTAATTAAGCTAATTTGATTTAGGTTTAAATTAATTAGCATAATTTTATTTAATTGGTTGAATTTTTATTTTGTTTATATTTAATTGTTAATTGGTTGATTAGTTTGTTAATTTGTTATTTTTGTTAATTGTTAGGTTAATTTGTTAATTAGTTGTTATTTAAAATTTAATTAGGTTTGAATTAGGATTAAATTAATTAGGTTAATTTTTATGAATTGGTTATTTTAAATTTTATTTATATTTTAATTTTTTAATTAATTATTATTTAAATTTAATTAGGTTTGAATTATATTTAATTAAGTTAATTTGATTTAGGTTTAAATTAATCAGGTTAATTTTGATTAATTTGTTCATTTTTAATGTTATTTATATTCTAAATTATTAATTACTTGTTATTTAAAATTTAATTAGGTTTGAATTAAATTTAATTAAGTTAATTTGATTTAGGTTTAAATTAATTTGATTAATGCTGATTAATTTTTTCATTTTTAATTTTATTTATATTTATATTTTTTAATTAATTGTTATTTAAAATTTGATTAGGTTTGAATTATGATTAATTTATTTCGGTTAATTTGAAATATGGTTATTTTTTATTAATTGGTAGATGTTTAATTTTATTTATATTGTAATTTGTTAATTGTTTGTTATTTAAAATTTAATTAGGCTTTAATTAGGATTAGTTTTATTATTTTATTGATTATTTTTTAAGTGCGTTGAGATACGTTACGGCGTATCATACTCGAAGGGTTGGAGACCCTCGAAATTGAGGAGAAATAAGATTGGTTTAATGCTTTATGATGGAGCTAGGAGGACAAGTTTAAGATTTAATTTCAATGAATTATTTGAGGAAATTGTCGATCTTGGTATGCATAAATTGATTGTTAATTAATGTTTGTGTTGTCAAGGTTTATTAAAAATATTTGCATGTGTTATGTATTTTAGTCGTAGTTTTTTGTGATCATTTGGAGTATCTAGTAATTGAAAAAGGTCCAATTTATAGAGGAGATTCTATAGAAATTTTGTTAGATCTTTAGGAAAATTAGTAATTAAATAATTATGTGTTACTTCAAAAATGAGAAACAAAATAATAAGGTTCTATCATGCATGGATGGATGTTAGGCATATCGATGGGTATTTAAATGATGATTTTAAAAATAGAGTCGAAGAATTTATCGTATTTGTCGTTACTCATCCCGAATGTATGGATGGAAGAAAGTTGAGGTGTTCTTATAATCACTATAAGTGTCAAAACTAAAATTTTGAAGGGGTTAAGATGGTTAAATACCATTTAGTGATACACGATTTTTCATTCAAATATTATAATTGGATACACCATGGAGATATTGAGTCGAAGAGTTATTTTGTGTCAAAAATTATCATGAAGGCAAAAGGAGTTATAGCAAATGACCAATCTATATCAAACAATGATGATGGATGTAAATAGTCCATCATTTAATTAGTCTTGTAATACCCATGACTTCAAACATTTCGGTGTATTTATGTATTTATTTATTAAGTATGTGTATGATGTGCTTTGGGTATACATTGATGAATGTTTGGCCTTGCAAATTAATATTACTAATTGTTGTGAGTGTGTGCGTCATTACGGGACTCCAATGTGATATTAAAATATTGAGGACCTAAGTGAGTTAAGTGGAAAAGTAAGGTGATTAGTTTGTTAAGTTATTCAAACTTGAGAGACCTAGAAATATAACTTGATTAAGTGTCTCATATATGTGTTAACTTAAAAATAAAGCTTGATTAGTATCCTATACAAGTGTTAATCTAGAAATATCTCTTAATTAGGTGTTTCATACATGTGATCACCTAGAAAAATATAGAGAAAATATATAAGCTTAAGTGTCTCATACAAGAGATAACCTTAGCTTCTATGGATTCTTCTAGATTCGACCAAGAGGTGGAAAGCTATAGGTTTTCTTTATAGTATTTTAACCTTGATAAATCTAAACACAACAAGAGAGAAAACCAAAATTACTAAGGAAAACAAGTCTTGGTCGAGAGAGGAAGAGAGTTTGGTCGAGAGGAAGGAAAAGAGAGTTTGGCCAAGAGGAACAAAATTTGGGAAACTTTGGTCGAGAGGGAAGCAAGGGAGAAAGGTGAGATCTTTGAGCACTTTTAGGGTGCTTTCAACCATAGCTAAAGCCTAAGGTAAGTGCAATCTCATCCCACCTTACCACAAGACATAGATGTTATAGGATTAATGTGTTTATGTGTTTATTTAATGATTGATCATTATGATAATATGATTATTTGATGGTTTATGCTTTAATTATTAGTGTAATTCCAACTACATCACAAGATATAGATGTTATGTGTTTGAGTAATGATTGAACATAAATGATGAAGTGTTTACTTGATGGTTGTACTCATGTGTTTATTTGAGGATTAGTAAGTGCGGTCTCAACTCATCACAAGACCTAGATATCATAAGATTGTTATATTTATGTGTTTACTTAATGATTGATCACTTGTAAAGATGTGTTTTCTTGATGTTTTATTCATGTGTTTACTTGATGATTGGTAAGTGTGGTCCAACTCACCACAAGACATAGGTGTCACGGGTTTGAAGTGCTTATGTGTTTACTTGATGATTGTTGTGTTTATATGTTTAATTAATGATTAAATATTTATGACTATGTGTTTACTTGATTATTAATAAGTCTAATCTCACCTTACCACAAGACCTAAGTGTTATAGGATTGTTATTTTTATGTATCTACTTGATGATTGATTACTTGTGATGATGTGTTCACTTGATATTGTGTTCATGTGTTTATTAAAGATTGATAATTGTTATTCTTATATATTTAATTGATGATTAAACATAAGTGATGAAGTGTTTACTTGATGGTTGCACACTAAGTGATGATGTATTTACTTGATATTTATTCTTAAATGATGATGATGCTTAATTGATGATTAAATACTTGTACGGTTATATGATAAGGAATTCATGTGTTTATTGGATGATTGAACATTGAAAATGTTATTTGATAGTTTTGGATTTATGTGTTTACTTAATTTTCCTATGTTTAGGGATAATTGAATACTTGTGATGGTGTATTTAAGTGATCATGTATTTATTTAATGATTACTAAGTGTAATTCAACTTATCACAATACATAAATTTTATAGGATTGTTGTGTTCATGAGTTCATTTGATGAACATATTCATCTAAAGTTACATGATGATTTCAGGTTAAGTGATTACTTGATGTTACTTGGTTATGTTCATGTGTTTATTTTTTGATTGAATATTTGTGTTGTTATGTTCATGTAATTATTGTTTGATTGAACACTTGTGAAGTTCCATAATGGCTTCGAGTTTACATGTTTATTTGAAGTAAATTAGTTATATATTCATGTGTTTAGTTAAAGTTTGCATTTAGACTGCATCCACATCAAGAAAATATTTTTATCATGATTTCATACATTTAAAGAAAAGGACATTTGCTTGTTTTCAAAGAGGATTGCTAGACATGTTCACAGAGGGCTCATAATGGTCTTTATAAAGGGTGTTAGTAGGAGAATTGGTAATGGTCTTACTACTATGTTGACCAACTCTTCGTGAGATACCAACTTC